CTCAAGGAAGAGGTCATGAATCTAAAGCGACGTAACATTAAACTAGAAGCCTACATAAGGAGAGAAAATATTAAGATATTTGGTATCGAAGATAAACGAGGGGAATCCAATACTAGAACAGAGGAACTTGTTCGTATCATGATGCGTGAGAAGATGAATATTACAGAAGAAGACGTTGTAGGCTTTCAATTCGAGCGAGTGCATCGATTTCCAACACGGCAGGATATGGCTCGCTCTTCCAAACCGAGACCGATTATTGCAAAATTTAGTTTTTACAAGGACAAGGAATATATGTGGTCCTTTGTTAAGAACCTCAAAGGCAGTGGAATTGGAATTTCTAACGATTTTCCGAAAGAGATTGACGAAATCCACCAGAAGCTCTATCCGGTTTTAAAGGAGGCAAAGAGGAGAGGTCAAAAGGCTAGCTTTAAACTGGATAAATTAATCATGAGTGGACAGGTATATAGAGGTATGGAGACAGAAAATCTTGCATATTATGGTTTAATTATGAACAGCTAAAACGTTCGGCTGACAGAGGGCCGAAGCGCCAAAGCACGCCGATGGACTTTGTAGGTACATATTTGTGTCTTAAACCTTATCTTGTCGACATCAATCTTATATAATTTTTGCTCCATGTACTTGTCTGTTTTAGGTAATTCCCTTTTAAGTTTGTGTATCTTTACGCAGTTTTTTCTTTTTCCAAGATCAGATTCAACACTGCTTCTTACAAATCTTAATATGGTGAAATCAATAATTGTTTGTATAATCAAATGACTTTATGTTTGGGTTCTCCTGCCACCTATCTGATATTCAATTCTAGAGCGTGAAATGGGCGTTGAGACATTGAAACTTGTCTCCTTAAATGTGAAGGGCATTAGCAATTTTCATAAAAGAAGAACAATTTATACTTGGTGTCGAAAGAAAAATGCTGATTTTTCCTTTTTACAAGAAACAGATTCAAAGAAAGAAGTAAAAACACAGTGGAAAAATGAATGGGGGGCCTAGATGGAAGTTCAAATCACATGGAAGTTCAAATTCTCGTAGAGTCGCTATCTTGATCAAAAAAGGTGTTGATTACACTCCCCACTCCAAAATCATAGACCTCTTGGGACACTATATTATTTTAAAAGCTGAGATTAAAGACAAAATTTTCGTCCTGATTAATATCTATGCACCAAATAAAGATAAAGACAGTTTCAAATTCTTTGCCGATCTGTTAGCAAGGTTGAAAAATGAAAATTTGGACGAAGAAGAAACTATCATTGTAGGAGGAGATTTTTAACTGTCCACTTAATACGACCCTTGATAAGAAAGGAGGCATACTAACGCCTGGGAAATAAGTGGTATCAATCATAAATAGCATACAAGGTGACCTTGACCTAATAGATGTCTGGAGAGTGAAAAATCCCAACACAAAAAGCTCTACGTGGAGTCAAAACTCCCCAATGATACTTTGCCGTTTAGATTATTGGTTGATCTCTAATAATCTGCATGATTTAACTACATCAACAGATATAATTCCAGCTATCAAGACAGATCATTCGGCAATCTCTTTATAATTAAATAATAATGACAATCAAATCAAAGGTCCCCAAATTTGGAAAATGGATTGTGCTCTCTTGGAGGATGACCGATATGTTGACAATATTAAATCAAAAACACCAGTCTGGCTGGCTGATGGGTACAAGGATCTTTCGGATAATTGAAACTGATCTGGGATTGGCTGAAATACAATATTAGAGCTCATGCAATTCAGCTTTCAAAACATAGGGCAAAGGAAAGGATTGAAAAGGAAAACCACCTACAAGAAAAATACTCTAAAGCAGAGAGGGAATTTGAAAGAGACCCCAGCAACCTTAATGTAGATACCGGCTCAATTCTGCTAAAGAAGATCTAGAATTATTTTACGAAGAAAAAATAAAAGCTATTATTATTCGCGCAAGAGCCCGCTGTCATGAACATGGCGAGAAAAGTACCAAATATTTTCTCAATTTAGAAAAAAAATAAATCATATCAAAAAACATATGCGAAAATTGAAAATCAGTGGTTTAATGACTACAGACCCCTTCGATATATTGTCCGAACAACAACGCTTTTACCAAGGGCTGTACACGAGCAGAAATAAAAGTGTGGATGCAACGGCGAAAATTGAAGGCTTCCTAAGGGATTTAAATATTCCTGAACTGTCTAAGGAACAAAAGCTCTCGTGTGAAGGAAAAATCACTCCAGAAGAGTGCGCTTTACTTTTTGAAACTTTTCAAAATAACAAAACTCCTGAGAATGATGGGATTCCAATTGAATTCTATAGAAAATTCTGGCAGTTGATTAGTGTGCCTTTCACCAAATGTGCGAATGAATGTTTTGAAAAAGGTGAAATGTCTTGGTCTCAAAAGCAAGCAGTTATTACGCTCATTGAGAAAAAGGGTAAAGACCGCTCCCTCTTAGAAAACTGGCGACCTATATCTCTCTTAAACGTGGATGCAAAAATTATGTCAAAGGTAATAGCAACTAGACTTGAAAATATTCTGCCACAAATTATTCATCATAATCAAATCGGTTTTGTTAATAATTTGGATATATCAACAAAGTTGAAATGGTAAATGAGATACAATGAATATATGAAGTTCATATATTTTTTTTCATATATTTTTTTCAGGTCTGATTTTCGCTATTGCATAAATAGCGCTTTCTACTGCGAGGATCGTGCATCATACGTATTGAAATGGTAAATTGGCCACCTTAACGATTACACAAGCTGACGTTTCGAGCGTTAGCCCTTCGTCGGAGCGAATAGAGGAATTGTGGGTTGTGTGTGCTTTTAAAGGCAGAAAATGGAGCTACGTTATTGGTAGGAACATGGCGACGAGAAAAACACGAATAAATTAGTGGAATGAAAAGCGTTCGTTGATCCCTGTGGGATTTAGACTGCCGGTTTGAAAGATGAACTTTTGTTCAAGATTTTTACGGCTTGT